CTCTGGCTGTTCTTCCAGAGGACCTGGGTTCAATTCCCAGCCCCAATATGGCAGTTCATAACTTACTGTAACTCTAGTTCCAGGGGACCCAGCACTTTCACACAGACATACACGCAGGCAAAACACCAATGCATATAAAATTTAAAAAAGGAATTGTTAGTGTACATTTGTTGTACAGTGAAGGATTTTACTGAGTATATAACACTTTGATCATGTTGACTCCCTTACCCTCTTTTAGTTCCTTCTACCTTCCAAATAGTCCCTCTTAATTTTCATGCCATAATTTATGTCTATATATCAAGTTAGATATTCATACATGTAACTAATGTACATTAAAGGAACCTTGTGATAGTTATATTTGAGTCATGATAACCGACTCTTTGCTCTCCTGTATCAAAATGTTAAAGAAAAAAAGCTATGTTACATATATTTGTGTGTGTGTGTGTGTGTGTGTGTGTGTGTGTGTGTGTAGGCAAGAAGGCATTGCTCAGGGTTCTCTCTTTCGACCATGTATAGTCCTGGGGCTCAAATCCAGGTCATAAAGCTTGACCACAAACTCCTTTATTTGTTGAGTTATCTCATTGGCTCTGATGTCAAAACCTTACCTATTCAATCGTGTCTGAGAAACCTCAACCAGCTTGTCTTAGCAGGATGACTCAATACAGTGCCCATGTGGCTGAAACTGTGTTACTAAACACAAACTTTTGCTGTATAAAACATGTTTTTTGCTTTTTTTCTTTTTTTTAAATTTTAAGACAGTGTTTTTCTTTGTAGCCCTGACTTGTCCTGGCATAGGTAGGTGGATCTCTGTGAGGCTAGCCTGGCCTACAGAGTGAGTTCCAGGACAACCAGGCCTAAACAGAGAAAAACTCTGTCTCGAAAAACCAAGTAAGTAAATAAATAAATAGATAAATAAAAATTAAATAAGAATTTCATGGCCTGAGCCATGAAGTTCTGTGTACTTAAAGGCATCGTTAAAAGAGTAAATGAACAAACAAGGATGTGTGTGGGTATAATCATTTTGGACACTGGTTTAGTTAATCAAACACTGCTTCACTGCTAAGGGCACCAGAAAACTCACATGCTTTGTTTCCCCTGATCTCCAACAGCATATGAAGTCAGTTTTAAATTTTATATTTTTATGATTTCATATATGTGGATGTAGAAGAACACAAGAGCCACCGTGTATGTGAAGTCTGCGGTGGTTTGAATGAGAGTGGCCTCCGTAAACTCTTATGGTTGAATTCTTGGTCCTTTTTGGAAAGATTAGGAGTTGTGGCCTTGTTGGAGGAGGTGTAGCACTGGGGCAGTGTGTGTGGGGGAAGCTTTGAGGTTTCAAAAGACTGGCACCATTCCCAGAGTCTCTTTCTCCCTCTCTGCCCTCTCCTTGCAGATCAAGATCAGAACTCTCTATAATCTGTACAATCACAAAGATTAGGTACTAATGAGGGAGTAGAGGGCTCCGATAATCTCATCAGGAAATAGAATAGATAATTATGAATTTGGGGAGGGGGAACAGGAGGATCAAGTAGGCAGGGGAAGGAGGTTGAGGGAGGGAATAGGGGTAGAGACTGATTTAATGGATATTTGAGGGGTAGTTTGGAAATTTCATACAGTAGAAACTTCCTAAAATATATACATATATGAAGGCAATCTAAATGAAATGGTAAATAATGGGGTACCCAACTAGCCACCTCTTGTTATCAAATGAAATTATCAGCACCAGGGTTGAGTTCCGTCTAATTGAGTTACTGGCCATAGGGGTCCCATGGGAATTCACAAACATCCCAGGCTGTTTTAAAGACAATAGGTTGCTGTCCACAAACTGATAGCAGGCCCTACTGCTGAAGACAACACCTACGCAACTCCTTGAACCTGGAGAAGTCAAGCTGGTGCCAGCCACAAACCCTTTGATCTGGTGTTCTGCCTGTAAGATGTGTTAGGGCAATGGCAGCACATAATGTGTAGGAGTAACCAACCAATATCTGACTTAAGGCCCAATTCACAAGATGGAACCTGGACCCAATACAGCTGGGGTGACCTAGAACCAAAGACAAGACAGACAGCCCAGGAACCCAAGGTAAAAATCAAATACTGAAAGGACTGGTGTCAGCACAGGGCACACCAAGATCAAGTTCTCAGGACAAATGAGATTTATTTGCCCCAGAAGGAGAAAGAGCAGGGGATAAGAGACAAAGACCAGGCTGGGTGGTGGTGGTGCACACCTTTAATACCAGTTCTTGGGAGGCAGAGGCAGCAGATTTCTGTGAGTTTGAGGCCAGCTTGGTCTACAGAGTTAGTTCCAGGACAGCCAGAGCTGTTATATAGAGAAACCCCGTCTCACAAAGGAGAGGGGTGGTGGTGGTGGTAGAGAGATACAGAAGGAAGAGGAAAAGGAAAGGGAACAAGTGATGGGGGAAGGGGTATTTGCCCTAGAGGGACAAAGGACTGCCTCTGGATAGAGAGGAGATAGATGTGGCCCACAGGCAAATGACAGTTTATAAAGAGACAGGGTGTGTGTGTGTGTGTGTGTGTGTGTGTGTGTGTGTGTGTGTGTACCCTGTGAAGAGTTGGTTTGTTTTGACTGGGCATGTTAATTAGGTGAGCCAAAGGGGGCTTTTGATTGCTGGACTTCAATACTTTGATAGCTGGACCTTGGTGGTCAGCCTTAGGAGGATGTGGCCAAATAAGGCAATACACTTTGGTGGCTAGCTCCAGGAATGTAATCTAACGGTTTAGTAAGGCAGAGGAAATGGAGGAAAGGCATGGCCTGCCAGAACCATGTTTGCTATGCTTGGGTCTACTAGAGTCCTTCAAATACTACTGGTCTTAAAAAAAATGTAGTGATAAAATGACTCCTAATGATATATATTTTCATTTCCATCAAATCCCTTCCCTCAGAGATCAGGGAACTCCAATGAAGAGTAGCTGGAAGGAGTATGGGAGCCAGTGGGGATTGAGGACAAGAGAAGGCCTTCTAAATCAATTGAGCAAAGCTCCTATCCAGACTGAAGCAACAAGCACAGGGCTGACACAGCTCTAAACCAGGTCCTGTGTATATACTATGGCTTCCAGCTTAGTGTTTTTATGGGCAAACAAGTGGATCTCTGATTTCTGTGCCTTCTCTTGGGCTCCTTTCCATCTATAGGTTTCTCTTGTCCAACTTTGATGTGATTTGGTTTTTACTTTAACATGAATGCTTGGGTTTAGTGAAGGAGAGAGCCACACTCCAACTCCAAAGCCATCTTTACCTCATTAGCTTACCAGTGGAAGAGAGGTAGTTCCTGTTTCTTCCTGCCTATATCCTCTCTTCACCCATTTCCTGTGTCTGTCCAGACCTCTATGGTTAGTGGCAAACTCCACCCTCTGATCTTCAGACAAACTTTATTTGTCTTATACTTTGCCATGTTTGGTTATCACTTAGAAGCCTGTTCTTTTCTAATGAGAGACAGAAAGGGAGTGGATCTGGATGGAAGGGGAGGTAGGGAGGACTGGAAGTAGAGGGAGGGGAAACTGTAATCAGGGTATGTCAGAAAAGAATGTATTTTTGAGAAAGTGTTTCACTGTGTAAACCTGGCTGTCCTGGAACTCACTCTGTGGACCAGCCTGGCCCCAAACTCACAGAGATCCACCTCCTGAGTACTGGGATTAAAGGCATTTGCCACCACTTCTCTGCAAGAATGTATTTTCACAAGCAAACTCTCAGGAGTTCTGCTGCCATCATGGACTCCCTTAAACCATAAGCCAAATTAAACTATTTTATAAGTTGCTTTGGTCATGGTGTTTTGATCCAGTAATAGGAAAGTAAGAGTGGAGAAATGGCTCAGTGGTTAAAGAGCACTGGCTTCTCTTCCAGAGGACACAGGTTTAATTCCCAGCACCACATGGCAGCTCATACCTGTCTGTAATTCCTGTTCCAGGGGATCTGAAACCCTAATGAAGACATATATGCATGCAAAAACATCAATGTAAATAAAATACAAATAATTAAAAAAAGACAGATGTCAGAGGACATCTTTGTGAAGCTGGTTCTTCCTCATTACCTTTATGTGGGTTCCAGTGACCTAACTCAGCTTGTTCAACCTCAGTGGCAAGGGCCTGTTACCTACTGAGCTTTCTCATTGGCCTCTGAAGTCATTTTAAAAATCCTCTGTGCCTGAAATCTCATCCTCTTGCCTGTGGTTCTATTCACTTTATTCTCCATGGTTCTCATGTAGCCTTTACCCATGTTCTACAGTGTTCTCAGAAACCCAATATAGTGTATTTCCAAAGTTCACACCTCTCACTGCTGCCCGCCACAGAGCACTGGAGGAGCTACCCTTGCCCTACCTCTTGTGTCACCCTTGTTACTTTCTAAGTACAACTGGACAACCAGCATCACATACTGTTGATGTAACAGTGACCACCTTCCTAGTCCCTTGTCTGGCTAGACCTTCTTTCAAGTGGACCTTCCTAACCCCCCCACCCCCCCAC